CTTGACAAAAAGGGCGGACTTATCTGTGAGATTTTAGGATTATTGTTTACAAAATAGGGCTTTTTACATCTCATCTCTTTTAATTACTGTATCTTTAGTCTTTTACTGACTTGGAACTCGCTAACGTCATCCTGCAACTGGCTTTTGACTACTTCATCTACTCAGTTTTCGGCCTAAAATCTTTTGCATTTCTGTTTGGCGGCTTTGTTGTTGGCATGGGTTTGCATCCTCTTGCTGGCCACTATGTCTCCGAGCATTATGTATTCAAACCTGGCCAGGAGACTTACAGGTGGGTATAGGTCGTTGTAGAGACTGTCAAAGAAAAAATTCTCTGCAGTTACTATGGACCGATTAATCTAGTGACATTCAACGTTGGATATCATGTGGAACATCATGATTTTCCATTTGTTTCTGGTGCGAATCTGCCAAAGGTGAGTGATTCAATTGTTCCAAATTTCGAGTTTGCTAGTAAGCCTGATGCTCAATCTCGTGTTAGCATGAGCTTGACGTAGCATGTATATAAGCTATCCTCAGGCAAAATAAATTTTCGTGCATAATTCGTTTATTGGCTGAGTCCTCTTTTGAAGGTTTTTAATAGAAAGAAGTAATAACGTACAAGGCGATGTTTGCAGTCAGAGGGTATATGCAGTTCGGTTTAACTTGTCGTTTGGCACCCACGCTTCAGTTTTGACACTACTTTAATGCTGTTAATTGTGAGAGACATCTTTATGTTTGAATTACAACAACATATGACGTCCTGGTAGATGTCGTATTTCATACAGCATTCATTTTTTATGCTCAAAGTAAATTTTCGGCCGCCTTTGGAACCGATCTACTGCGGTCTGCAAAAGCCATAATGAGTAGAGTTTATTTCATGCGGGCAGAAAATGTCGGAATGTCAAGCTTTTTTTGCATGGAAATCACTAAAATTATTTTTGAAATAATTACTCCGCTAGTTGAAAGTGCTGGATTTTGTTAGTCTTTGATGGATATATGCTTTTTCTGTAATTGGATCACTCAAAGGCGGTGCCCGCGCAGATTTGGAGCTCCTCAGTTCCAACAGTTT